ACTTCTATTTTTATTTTATTTTATTTTATTTTATTTTTTCTATCTTTCTTTTTCAATCCATTTTCCTTATTCTACAACTCGTGAGCATCACCCTATCTTCCACCACCAAAAAAAAAAAAAAAAAAAAAAAAAAAAAAAAAATCCACAAAAAAAAAAAAAAAAAAATTAATATCATAACTTATCATTTTTTTTTCTTTTTCTTGAAGAAGTGAAGTGAACTCGATTGACTTGACTATCAACCATACTTTGGTAATCAAAACCCTAATCATTGTTTTGTGGTCTGTAGAACCATTGTATCTAGAATTCTCGTTCAAACATTTCTGAAGTTATAGGCTAGTTTTATCTTCACATAAGAAGACAAATAACACTCACAAAAAAAAAAGAATAAAAATTAATATCATAACTTATCACATTTTGTTTTCTTGAAGAAGTGAAGTGAACTCGATTGACTTGACTATCAACCATACTTTGGTAATCAAAACCCTGGTCATTGTTTTGTGGTCTATAGAACCACTGTATCTAGAATTCTCGTTCAAACATTTCTGAACTTATAGGCTAGTTTTATCTTCACATAAGAAGACAAATAACACTCACCCAAAAAAAAAAAAGAATAAAAATTAATATCATAACTTATCATTTTTTTTTTTCTTGAAGAAGTGAAGTGAAGTGAACTCGCTTGACTTGACTATCAACCATACTTTGGTAATCAAAACCCTGATCATTGTTTTGTGGTCTGTACAACCACTGTATCATTTTTTTTTTCTTGAAGAAGTGAAGTGAAGTGAACTCGCTTGACTTGACTATCAACCATACTTTGGTAATCAAAACCCTGGTCATTATTGTTTTGTGGTCTGTAGAACCACTGTATCTAGAATTCTCGTTTAAACATTTCTGAACTTATTGGCACGGGCACGCCTTTTGATGGCACGCCTTTTGATGGCACGCCTTTTGATGGCACGCCTTTTGATGGCACGCCTTTTGATGGCACGCCTTTTGATGGCACGCCTTTTGATGGCACGCCTTTTGATGGCACGCCTTTTGATGGCACGCCTTTTGATGGCACGCCTTTTGAGGGCACGCCTTTTGATGGCACGCCTTTTGAAAGATTGGGCACACCTTTTGAGGGCACGACTTTTGAGGGCTCGATATCTACATCCATGTATATTTTTTTTTGGGCAGCCTATATACACACTCATACAGTGTCTTCTACACCGGTCAGCTTTATCAATCCCTTTGTTTCAACCTCAAATAGGTTTCTATCTTCACACCTATTTGAGTTTGAGGGGGGGTTATACACAGTATCATGTTCAAGTCACCTTGCTACAACGGTCCGACATGACCCCATAAACTGTCCCGACATTGATTCCGGTCAGCTGCTATATCGGTCCGACATGACCCCGTAAACTGTCCTGCTACACTGGTCCGACATGATCCCGTAAACTGTCTTGCTACACCGGTCCGACATGACCCCGTAAACTGTCTTCTACAACGGTCCGACATGACCCCGTAAACTGTCTGCTACAACGGTCCGACATGACCCCATAAACTGTCTTCTACATCGGTCTGACACGACCACACAGTGTCCTGCTACATCGGTCCGACATGACCTCGTAAACTGTCTGCTACAACGGTCCGACATGACCCCGTAAACTGTCTGACACGACCACACAGTGTCCTGCTACATCAGTCCGACATGACCCCGTAAACTGTCTGCTACAACGGTCCGACATGATCATACTGTGTCTCCTACAACGGTCTGACACGACCATACCGTGTCTCCTATCCTGTTTTATTTTATTTATCAGTTTATTTTTTCTGTTTTGTTACTCTCTCCAACCTCAAGTTGGCTAGTGCCTATCCTCCTTGAGTTTGAGGGGGACTGTTAATGTAAATTGTGTAAATGTAAATTACCACTACCACCCACTCCACCTACCATCTCCACTACCACCCACTCCACCTACCACCTCCACTACACTACACCTACTACCACATTTTCTTCTATATATAGGAGTTGTAATACATAACAATACATCGATCAATCAATCAATACATAATTCATTCTCTGTGTATCTCTCTCTATCAATTTATCTTAACAGTACGAACCAATAAGAATGGAAATGAAGGACGTGTGTTTTTTGTTTGCCCAGATAAATATGTAAGTATCTGTTCTATAAATTAATGTTTCACTTTTTACAAATTTCATTTGTCTTATTTGATTAACCGATTCTTGTTCATTGTAAAGTGTGAACGAACACTGCAATTTCTTCAGCTTCGCAGATGATGATGACAACGATGTTCCCTCCACAGATATAAGAACTGAAGAAATCAATGAGCTAAGGAGAAGGGTTGGTGAGCATGATAGAAGGCTTGAAAGGATGGAGAAGATTTTCAAGGCAATGACTTATGTCATTGTATTTTGTGTAGTTTTTTACTTTATCATGTAAATGAATGTAATAGACATATCTTGGGAAGTGTTTGAATGGATGTAATGGACATATGTGAATGACGTATTCTATTATGTAATGCGTGTATTTTGTAATGAACGTATTTTGTTGTCGACATATTATGTAATGGATGTATTCTATTACCAAAAATGAATGTAGTGTTTGAATGGATCTGTTTTATTATGGATTGAACAACCATAACAGATTGAATGAACAGAATGAACAACCATAACCTGGAGCATTTTATGATGAATCTGTTTGAATGGATCTGTTTGAATGAACAACCATAACAGATTGAGCATTGAGGCAGATGCACAGATTGAGCATTCAGGCAGTTTCAGCAAATTTGTTAAAAATCTGGAGTAGGTTTAACACAGGTTTAACACATTCACACAGGTTTAACACAGATTTGGGTCTGTAGTCACACACGTTTCACAAAGTCACACAGGTTTCAACAATTTTACACAAATTCACACAGGTTTTAACTAATTGACAGAGTCTAATTGACATGCATCTGTCTCCATGTTTCTGGGTCTGTTTGAACAAATTCACACAGGTTTGTGGGTTTGTCTGAACAAATTTAGACAGGTCTGTTAGAACAGGTTTCAGTCACACAGGTTTGAACTAATTCACATAAATTCACAGAGCTTTTCACAAATTCACAGAGTTTAATTGACATGCATTTGGGTCTGTTTGAACCTGTGTAGTGAACCTGTCCAGATGAACCTGAACCTGTGTAACTGAACCTGTCCAGTTGAACCTGTGTAGTGAACAAAACAGACCAGCAACATATTTTTTTGTTGCAACAACACAGACCAGTAATTGAACCTGTTTACTGAACAAATTTTAAGAACACAGACATTGATCAAAGGACACAAACAGACAGACATTGATCAAAGGAGACATTGAAGGAGCATACAAAGACATTGAACTTGTTTATCAAAGGAGACAAAAATAGTAGAACACAGACATTGAACACAGACAAAAATGGTAGAACACAGACATTGAACAGTGTATTACATTGAACATACATCGAAAAGTGTATTACATTAAAAATAAAATGGGGTATTTGGATCCAATAGCGATGGTGCTGTAGAACTTTGACCGCTTAGATTATTGACCATTCCTGATGTGCTTCCAATATTGTTCGGCGTTCCCATTGTGCAAACCAGTGCCTATAAAAACAAGGTATATATTACAAAATGATTTAAAAAAATATTGACCAATACATTAATCATTACAAATGTGTACTCATATATTGAACACGTACCGGTACAGACATGTTGTCTTCTGTGCCCACCATAGAAGAAAAATAGTAAGCTTCATCGTGCGGCACCTTATGATTATATAGTAAGACAATGTTATTAATAATTTGAAGCATTAACATAAAACCCAACAACAAGCAAAGTGGAATATTTTAAGTCCATTCAACACATACCGGTACATACATACTATCTTGTGTGCCAACCATAGAAGGAAAATAGTAAGCTTCATCTTCCGGCACCTATATGAAATAGTAACACAATTTCATTACTAATTGTAACCATTCAACTATGAATCCACAAAAAGGTTACGAAACAACCTATGCCAAGTATTTACCTGTGCGGGAGTAGTCTTCTTGTTCTTCCTCTTCAACCGATTAACTATTTGATCAACCTTGCTAACATTCCGCCTCGTACATGGACGTCCTCATCGGCGAGCAACCAAAGGACTGAGTACCTTGCGAGTGTTGCTTGCTTTTGTAGTATTCAGACGTGGCGGACTTTTCGGCGAAGTATGGGAAGGTGGTACAATACTAGTAGAAGGTGGTAGAGTACTAGTACATGGCACATTACTCGCAGTACCCGATTCAATAGTTTTCACTCGATCCTTGATTTCCCTCAACCCAAGTTGAATCACTTTGTGTTTACCATCGTCATTGGTAGCAAGTTCTAGGATCTCATCTAACGTCTTGTGATATGAATCATGCAACTTTGGATTTATAGCAGCCCCGAAGTTAGTATATGTGGTTGGAATGCATGTATACCCTTGTTCCAAATCTTTTCTCCATCTCGAGACAATGTATTTATGTGGCACCTCATATATGGACCTCTCAACGAGCACACTAAGTGAATGGGCACACATAATACCTCTAAACTGAAACAACCGACACATACATTGGAGCTCACATTCTGTTGAATTACAGTACACAATAAATTCTACTTTCTTCATACCCTCACCCAAAAGAATAGCCTTCCTCACATGATATGTACAAATTGATCCGTCCTCTTTTGTAAGATTCGGACGATAGTACACTAAACGCTTCATTTCTGCTTGAACTTCTTTAAATTTTGCATTTGTGTATGCTGCACGAAATTGCTTCTCAAAATGATACACTGTTAGGCAATCATACAATTGGTTACGAGATTTGAAATCTGCTTTTGTCTCCTTTTCCACCTTACTTCTCAAGGCATTGTCATATTGCTCAACAAACTGCTTTAAGGTAGTCTTCGAGTTCACATATCCATCAAAAAATGCATTCATGCTCTCACTTCTACCGGTAGTTGACATGCCAGCTCAAAATATGTCTTTCACATAGGCAGGAATCCACCTATGTCGCTCACGGTATAATACCCCTAACCACTCATTATCATTCAAATTGAATTTTGTAACCATTGTAAGCCAATTACCCTCAAATTCATCTTTCGTCAATGAATCATAAACAGCATTTTGCAAAGCAACCTTTATGCCTTCATATTGTGAATATCCTCTTAGTTTCTCCGGAATTTTCTTCATCACATGCCATAAGCACCAACGATGTCGAGCCTGTGGGAAAACTATTTCTATGGCATTTTGCATAGCTCTACACTGGTCAGTTATTATTGCTTTTGGAGGAGCATCTGACATGCAACTTAACCATTCTTTAAATGGCCACACAAATGTCTCAGTGTTCTCATTAGATAACAACCCACATCCAAACAAGATTGTCTGTCCATGGTGATTAACTCCTACAAACGGAGCAAATGGCATATCATACTTTTTTGTCAAATAGGTTGTGTCAAATGAGACAACATCCCCAAACGCTTTATAAGCCGCCCTACTCCTTGCATCTGCCCAAAACAAGTTTCGCATGCGACCGTCTTCATCAAGGTCAATTGTCGAATAGAAGTTCGAATTTTGTTGTTGCATTTTATGGAAATAAAGTGTAACTGATTCGGCGTCTCCTAGCTCAAGTCTCAATCTTCTAACATTCTCAATATAATTCCTTACATCTCGTTCATCAAACGTTAATGCCTCATATCCCCCTGCTTCAACAACTATGGAATGAAAATTCCTCGCCACCCCAATCCCTGCTGCATCGTTCACTTCTAGTCTTCTTTTGACCGGAGTACGAATCCTCTTATTCATTGAAAAATGCCGTGAGTCTGCAGGAATTAAATCATGAGTGTGCTCAAGCACAACTGTGGTTAACTTATATCTCTCATCGTTTTGTAGACTAGGTCTAACCCTTGCTTTACAATCAATTTTGGTTGACAAAGATGGTTCCAAGGGATTGATTTCTGATCTTTTTGTTCTCAACCTCGCCCGAGTACATTCAATTCCAAAGTACTTCACTTCCCCATCAGCTGTTAGATTTTGTGATCTAAAAGCTATAGCAAATCCACTGTGTTTCGCATATTGTGCATAAAATGCGTACACTTCTTGTTTTGAGCCAAAATACATCACCTTCTTGGGTTCTTCAACTTCGCCAATTTCGTTAATATCAAGATTGTTATCCTGTTCTTCAACTTCCTCACTCCCATTCAATGAATTATTGTTTGAATCAATATCCATTGTAGCTTCAAAGTTAAATACAATAGACATTGTTAGCTGCAATTTCAAAGCAAGTAGAATGAATTTTAATTTTAATTTGCATTTGAAACAAAGGGTCAACTAAGGACAGCCATGCCATGGATGAGCAAGTTAACAGAACACAAAATCATGCTAAGGAGGCTTTCGTTGTCTTGTCTCTAAATTGAAATTCTACAGTTATATTATATTTTCTATGAGATCTAATTCACATCAATTATCTTTCTATAGCAACCGACTGGGCCTGATTGTTTTTCTAACGACTATTTATTTATTTCAAAGATTCGATATAAACAATTGAGAGTCTTCTAACTTTTTTTTAAGAAATGCCGACCCAATGGCATGCAAATTCTAACTACAACAAACACATCAGACCAAACCAAAATTTCCATTATTGGACACCCAAGGAACCAATAAACAATTAGAATTGATGAGCTAGTTCCCTGAAGTTTACTTTCAGAAACTACATGCTTTTTCTAAAAAGGATTTAATGGTAACAATATCAATCTCCCATAAGGTATCATACAGCTTCAGTGGTTCGGTATGCTAAAATAGTGTGCACTAGACAAATTTTATATCTCCTCAAATATTCTAATGGACCTTTCGTCATTTACAAAGAATATATGGCTCCTAATAAGTCAGAAACAGACAAGTATTTTGATGCAAGTTAAGGAATTCTCTGAAAACAAAGAGTTTAATGAAGTCATATATGGGGTAAATGCATTCATCAATTGTGTTTATATGAAAACATCAGAATTTATCTTTGAGATCATTGATTGGCTTAAAAAATATTGGAATAGAATATTATAATATTTGGCCAAGAACAAAAGCATTAAGCAGGAGATTGTTTGAATCAGAGAGAGAGACAGAGAAAGAGAATTGAAGGCTTGTTACTTAATTAGTCTGATCAACCATGGCAGTTCAGTTTAGTTTAGCTACCAGCCATGGCAACCATGGCAGCAACAATGACAGAGCAATGGAAGAGGAATGGCACAAGGGGAAATAAAACGCCAAGAGGAAATACCTTATCCACAACTGTGAAGAGTCTGATTTGCACACCAACTTCGTCCTCTCCCACTCCGATCAAACAGCAGTAGCGACGCCACAAAGAGATAGTTCCGCTAGGTTACGAATAGACTAGTTCGAAGTCAGTGGAGACTCCGATTGCTCTACGGCACACAAACTTTCTCCTCTCCCACATCGATCAAACAACAGCAGTGACCAGACGGCTCCGCTAGGTTACGATGACACGGTGCTTAGCTTTCTTTCTACACGGTGCTCCGCTCTGGTTGTTTATTTTTTTTATTTTTTGTTTTTGAAATCAAAACAATTGTGTGTGTATCTCGCGTCGCAGAGCAGCCCATTCATCAATTCAAGCCACTCTCGAGCCTCGCCTTTCGACCTACGTAGCAGAGTCATAATTTTTT